CTCTCTCTGTGGGTGTGCATGTGTATTAGTATGTGTACATATGTGTATGAGTATGTGTACGAGTATGTGCATATGTGTATGTATGTGTGTGTGCGTGTGTGTGAGTGTGTGTGTGTGTGTGTGTGTGTGTGTGTGTGTGTGTGTCAAATAATAGAAGTTAAGATCTTCTGCATGCACGGCGTCAAGGTAAAACATTATTCTCCAAAACTTCTACATAAATACAAATCGCGACTTCAGTACTTTTTTGGGGGTCCTATCTCCATTTTTAATAACAGTGAAAACAGTTCATAACAAAGAGTGAGCTACAGAAGAAGTCACATTTTCAATGGGTTTTTTAAAGTAGAGGTTTAACGGCGCTCGCAACTACATAAGGTCATATGAGCGCCAAAAGATTAGTGGTGTTACAAGAGAGTAACAAACCTAATAAAGAAGAAGGGGAGATAAGGACGATATATGTTTTGTAGGAAAGAAGAAGCAAACCACCCCAGAGCACCCGCCAACCACCCACATCTCCATTTTTAATAGCAGTGAAAACAGTTCAAACCAAAGAGTAAGCTGAAGAAGAAGTCACATTTTCAATGTTTAAAAAAATGGAGATTTGATAAGAAAGCGCTGAGGTCGCGACATTGTATCATCAGGACGGTAACTATTATTTTTACCTCCCTCGGGGTTTGCTCCAACATAGTTGTCCAAATCTTCTCCGTACAGAAATTTGTTGATTCGTTTTAAGGACACCATTGCCTAAAAAAAAAGTAAAGGAAAAAAAAACTACATGAAGACTACAGAAGAAAAACGACGGTAGTCACAAACTGAAAATCGTGAGGGTACCAAATTTGAACGCTTGTTGACTCATAATTGTATTTCTGTTCCAACTGTTGGTTGATTATTGTCGTTAGATTTCCCATTCAACAACACTTAAACTATAAACCACCAGTCAAACAAAGATGAAGTTATGAGTCCACAAGCTTTTAAAATTGGCACCCTCACAATTTCCAGTTTGTGACTACCGTTGTTTTTCCTCTGTGCTCTTCACATAATAAGAATATCAATGATGTAGTGAGTCTATAAAGAACCTTTATGGGTACCATTTTCCCCTTCCTTTTCTTTCTCTTCTTCAAAATTTACCCCTACCTAAATCCCTGACCCCCCTCTCTCTCCCTCTCTCCTCCTGTCTCTCTCTCTGTCTCTCTGTCTCTCTGTCTCTCTGTCTCTCTCTCTGTCTCTCTCTCTCTCTCTCGCTCTCTCTCTCTCTCTCTCTCTCTCTCTCTCTCTCTTGCTAACTCTACCCTTCTCCCCCCTCTCCCCCTCTCCCCATCTACCTCTTTCTTTCATGATCTCTCTCTTTTTAGAAAAGAAAGTTTTGCAATTGGTCGCATTTAAGGACAAGCGGGCTGACCCAGATTTCGGGGGTTTCCAGAAGTTTTGACCTAAGCCAAAAGTGGGCATTCCTCTACCGATAGGAGAAGTTTGATTTCATAGGTGTGTATATTCGTTTGGTTATAGAGAAAACTTTTAAAAGAAACAGAACGAGGAGCAAAAACTTTACCTTCGATTTGCTCAAAACAGCAGTTTTCGGGACAGCCCCCTTGTGTTTAAAAGCGACCAATTGTTCTAACCCCTCTCCCCTAAATAAACAAAATAATAGACAACCAAACAAAAAAAAAAAAAAAAACAGCAACAAAAAATGTGATGCAGCGTGGTGGAATCAGGCTCTCGTCAATATTTGGGCATGTAGAGTTATTGGTATCATCTTAAAGCTTGTTCTCTTGTCTTTATTAGGATGAAAAAAACATCAATTTATCTTGAATAGAAGTCGAGATATTTGCCATTGAAGGAGATAGAGGTTTTCAGAGGAAAAGTTAGTGAGAAAATGGCCGCCAAAGATTAGTTATTTCCATAGCTTAAGAGTCCATGGTAACTGAAAACTTCCTTTTTTGTGTGCCTATAATTAACGTTTTTCAGGCAAATCCACACAGAAATGAGTTCTTTAATGGGCATGAAAGGTATTGAGCCAAAAACAAATTCACAAACCTGCGGAAAAATGCAGGTGTCTTCACTTTGATTATTTTGACGAAAGCCTGATTCCACCACACTGCCTCACAAATAAATCCACAAAGGGCATTTTAGTTTAGTATAGGGTTTTACGGCGCTCCCAACTACATAAGGTCATATGACGGCGCCAAACACAAGTTGGTTGCATTCGCAACAGTTCACTGCACGGTTAGTCAACTGTTAGACTTTAAAATGTTAAATTATTAACATTCGGTGTAAATATATTTTCAATTTAAAACAACTCTTATAAATAACAATACAATTTTTTAACAATATTGTTTCATTTCATAATTTCCCATGAAGGCCAATGGCCTTCATAAAATGTGGGTGGTTGGCGGGCGCTCTGGTGTGGTTTGCTTCTTCTTTCCTATCAAATATCTATCGTCCTTGTCTCCCCTTCTTCTTTTTTATGTTTGTTACTCTCTTGTAACACCTCTAATCTTCTGGCGCTCATATGACCTTATGCAGTTGCGAGCGCCGCAAAACCCTCTACTAAAACTAAAACTTCCTAAAATCCAAGATTCTGTTGGGACCAACGACGGAAAAAGGGCAGACAAACTCGCCATGACGGTGCCAGTGATGATGTTGGTGATGATGACAAAGGGCATCCTCATGATGTCAAAGTAGGTCAAGGACACGAACACGGTGGCCGGGTCAAGGTGGCTGTCGTCAGAGATCAGGATGTAGCAGGCGAAGGTGGCCAGGGTAATCTGCGAGCAGAGGTCATTATCATCATCATCATCGTCATCGTCGTCATCATCATCATCGTAATCGTCGTCATCATGATCATCATCATCATGATCATCATCGTCGTCGTCGTCGTCATTGTCATTGTCAGTCATTGTCATTGTCAGTCATTGTCATTGTCATCATGATATCATGATCATCATCATCATCATCATCATCATCATCATCATCATCATCATCATCATCATCATCATCATCATGATCATCATGATCATGATCATGATCATGATCATCATCATCATCATCATCATCATCATCATCATCATCATCATCATCATCATCATCATCATCATCATCATCATCATCATCATCATCATCATCAT